GATTCTCCTCTTTGGCTGCACATTAGAATGTCCTGAGGAGCATTTTAAAATTTTTCAGATGATAAACCAAAAATTCTGAATTAGAATGGCACCCAGGAGCTGAATAGTTTTCTAAGCTCCCAGGTAATTGTAGTGGGAGTCAGGACTGGGGACCCCTGGCCTAGACTCTAAGCTTTCGTGGTAAAGAATTACATCACTAAAGCTCTGCCTTCCACCTGCATCCTGGATTTAATCAGCATCGGGTGATAGGGCATGACTTGCCTCCAGGAAGTCTAATTTTGGAGGACAGTGGACACTGGTATAGTTTGGATTAGTCAACTGCTCTTTTCCTAACTCAGGAGTGAGTTTAGTTTTATGTGATAGGTAAATTAGTCTTCTGATAATAATTTGCAATAAATGAGACACAGGAGAGAAAGGTCCGAGACAGTTTGAGATTCCCAACTCTTCGGTGCTAGGTCACAAACAGACATCTGTAGAGTAGTAGATTCAGTGTAGTTGGATAACAATTGGAAAACCAAGTTCCTGAAGTGACTGCCTCATGTCTGCATTATTTTATAAATGTGCATTTTGTCTTTCCTGTATGAGACTGTGGGTTTCTTGAGGGCAAACAGTCTTTTCCAGTCCCTGATACATTGTAGGTACCCATTTAAAGGAAGGAAGACAGGAAGGAATGAAAGAGAAGGAAAAAGGAAAAGAGAAGTTGAGGGAAGGATCAAGGTGTTCTTAAGCAGCTGCAAAACTACTATGAAAACAGCCTCCCAGGCTGTTCTGTCACTCCTTGGGCCCTCTCCATGCCAGGGGTCCTCAGCTGAGGTTTTTGGCCCTGTCTTTCATCTTTTTCTTAGTATCTCATCCTACCTCGTGGCTGATTCCTTCACATGTGTACCTCCACTCCAGATTTCTCATTTTTAAATAGCTCACTTCCAAGCTGACCCCTCCACTTGGAAGTTGAAGGGAATCTTAGGCTCTACCTGCCCCAAACTGAACTCGCCTCCCCTTCCCCAAGTCCTGCTTCCCCACCGGCTTTCCCCATCACAGTTAATGGCAAATCCATCTTTTCTGGTTCTCCAGGGTCATCTTTGACACTCACCTCTGTTATCATCCCATCTAATTGATCAGGCCATCCTGTGGGCTCTCCCAGATCTTTTCTGTTGCCTTCCGTGCTTCCATTCAGGGCACAGCCCCCCTCACCTCTCGCCTGGATTATTGTAGAAGCCTCCTAACTATTCTTCCTGCCTTACCCTTGTCCTCCCACAGTTCATTCTCAACCAGGCTGGTGAGTGATCCTTTGGACCATAAGCCAGACCACATTACTGCTAAGCTCAGAATCCCACATTGGCTTTTCCTAGTTCCCTCAGAATAAAAGTCAAAATCCCTAAATGGTTTACAAGACCCTCCCTGACCTGGCCCTCTGTGACCTCTTTCCCCCTTCTGCACTCCACTCCAGCCACACAGGCCTCCTTGCAGTTCCTCAAAATACCAGGCACGCTCCTGCCCTGTGGTCTTTGCAGTGGCTGTCCCTCTGCCCAGAATGCTCTTTCCTAAATATCCATATGGTCAAGTTTCTCACCAACTCCTAAAGTTTTACTTAAATATTACCTTTTAAAAGGACCACTTTTTCAAAATTTCAGACTTTGCCCCACTGCATGCATCCCTCCTCTGCTCTGCACCCTTTGTCTGCTATGGCACTTGCTACCATCTAGCTAATATAATATACTTACTTGTTATGTTCCATGCCTTTCTTGCTGCAAGAATGTAAGCTCTCAAGGGCAAGAATCCTTGTTTTAATCACTGACGTAATAGGTGCTCAATAAATAGTTTTTGATGGGAATGAATACTCCCTTATCAGAAATCACACTCCCTTATTAGAAGTCATTTTCACATAACGTAATTGAAGAGTACTCCTGTGTGCTTCTCAGCAAAATTCAGTGGAAACTTAATTGAAAGGATGCTACCCATCTGGGCTGGGCCCCTGGGCTCCCTGGTCTCCCTGGTCTGTACAGATTCTTTTGCTGTAAAACTCAAAATCTTCCAGCTTGGGCAGGGGTGGGGGAGTGAATAAAGGGGAGCAAGGAAAAAAGGAAAGAGATGCTGCCAGGAAACCAGAGGAAGGCCATTCGGTATGCTGCTTGCTGACGATTAAAAACAAAGCAAAAAATCCAGACTGGATATCCACATGCAAATGAATGAGTTTAAACTCCTACATCCTAGCTATATAAAAATTAACTCAAAATAAACCAAAAATCTAAGTATTAATGCTAAAAAACAACTTTAGCTCTTAGAAGAAAACATGGGAGTAAATTTATGTGACCTAGGATTAAGCAGCAGTTTCTTCGACATGACACCAAAAGCACATGCAATATAATTTAAAAAATAGGTAAATTGAACTTTATGAAAATAAAAACTTTTGTGCTTTGAAGAACACTATCAAGGAAGTGGGAAGATACTCACAGAATAGGAGAAGATATTTGCAAATCATATATCTTATAAGGGATTTGTATATAGACAATGTGAAGAATTCTTATAATTCAGCCCTGACTGGTGTGGCTCCGTTGGTTGGGTGTTGTCCCACAAAGAGAAAGGTCACCAGCTCAATTCCCATTCAGGGCATGTGCCGGGGTTACAGGTCAGTCCCTGATTGGGGCTGTGAGAGGCAACTGATTGATGTTTCTCTCACACATCAACGTTTATCTCTTTTTCTCCCTCCCTTCTTTCTCTCTAAAAATAAATAAAACCTTTTTAAAAAAAAAGAATTCTTAAATTCAACAATAAGACAAATAGGCCAATTAAAAACAGGCAAGGGGTTTGAATAAACAAGTCTTCAGAGAAGATGTTTAAATGGCCAATAAACATTCAAAAAGATGCTCAACATCATTAGTCATTAGAGAAAACCACATCACTATAATGGCTATAATCAAAAAGACAATAAATGAAAAAGAAAGTGTGTTGCTGAAGATGTGAGAAATTGGAATCTTTGTACACTGCTGGTAGAAATGTAAAGTGTTGCAGCCCCTTTGGAAGGCAGTCTGGCAGTTCCTCAGACAGTTAAACATAGAATTAACTATATGATACAGTAACTCCTCTCCTACTATAAACTCAAAAAGGAAGAAAACATGTTCAGACAAATATTTGTACATGAATATCCACAGAAACATTCTTCATAACAGCCAAAAAGTAGAAGCAGCCCAAACGTCTATCAGCTGATAAATGGATAACCAAAATGTGGGATACTATGGAATATTATTTAGTCATAAAAAGGAATAGAGTACTCATACGTGCTATAACATCAATAAAGCTTAAAAACATGGTGCTTTGAGTACAGAGTTTCAGTGTGGAAAGATGGAAATAGTTCTGGATATGGATAAGGATACAACAATGTCCTTAATGCCACTGAACTCTACACATAAAAATGGTTAAAATGGTAAATTTTATAATGTATATTTTACCACCAATAATAATTTAAAAAATTATACTAAGTGAAGGAAGCCAGACATAAAAAGGCCACATATTGTATGAGTCTATTTATATGAAATGTCCAGAACAGGCAAATCCAAAGAGACAGCAAGTAGACATGGTTGTCTAGGGCTTCAGGGGTTTGGAGAGTAACAGCTAATGGGTACACGGTTTCTTGAAGGGGCCGTGAATGTTCTAGAATTAGATGGTGATAGTTGCACAACCTTGTGACTGTACTAAAACCACGAATCATACACTTTAAAGTGGATTTTACGGCATATGAATTATAACAATAAAACAATACAGGATTTATAGTTTTATGTGGTATCCGAAAGCAAATTTTGATCCAGGCTGTTAAATGGGGAAACTTTCTTTAATGTATCACCCTTCAAGCTAGCCAGAGCATATAGGTGCCTTGATCTTTGAGATGCTGGTGGTATTAGTTGCCCTCCTGTAGCAAAGCTATTTTTGTAAGTATTGCAGTCAGGAATCTCAGGCATATAAAGGCATTCTGTACAATCCTTATTAAAAGGCCAGATTTGTTGCTGCTTGTTTAGCATCCCCTTCAGAATTGATGGCTGATGTTTTATGCTTCTGAGAGCTTCCAAAACAAGATCAGGGTTTTTGAATACCCTTCTGATTGTGTTTTATTTCATTACAGCTTGTCCTTGTGTATTAACAAGGTAATCTTGTCTTTCCCTTACTTTACTGCTCTGACCTTTCAGGAGAAATGTGATTTTAAAATTGGACACCATCCAAAGATGATGGCAGCATGACAAAGGATATTATTCCTGCAAGCAATATAGTTCCAAAGATGTGATCTGAGCTGTCGTTCTTTGCATGTGTGACTCCCTCTCTACTCAAAGTGTGGTCCATGGACCAACGGAAGTGTTGTAGATTGTGAGCGTGTTGGAAATGTGGAACTTTGGGCTCCTCCCCGGACCTACTAAATCAGAATATGCATTTTAACAAGATATGGTGGTTTTAAAGTGTGTCCACAAATTCCTCAATACTCCTCTCTTCAGTGGAGCCCACTTATCCTTGCCCTGCGTGTGGACTGTCCTTAGTGACTTGTTTCAAATATAATGGAAATTATGGAGTATATTTCAAGGCTGGTAGGTCATCAAAACATTTCAGCTTCCACCTTTCTCTCCAGGATCATTCACTCTGGGGGAAGCCAGCTGCCATGTGATGAGGACACTTGGGCAGTTACTCTGTGGAGAGGGTCACATGGCCAAGATCTGAGGCCACCTGCCTACAGCTGTGTTTGTGTGACATCTTGAAAGTGAATCCATCAGCCCCAGTGAAGCCTTCAGATGACCTCATGAAAGACCCAGAGCCAGAATCACCCAGCTAGGTCAGTCCTGAATTCCTAACTCTCAGCAACTATGTTGAATAATAAATGTTTATTTTCAGCTGCAGAGTTTTGGGCTGATTTGCTATACAGCAGCAAATAACCAATATGTAACACTTGCAGGTGACTTGGAAGCACAGTAAAGTTTGAGAAGCACTGAACTATACCATGAACTGGAAGGTAGAGACCAGCGTAGTCTTTTCTATATCTTCAGAGTTTAGCACAGTGTCTGGCAATCAGCAATTTTTCTTAGATTAAATACAAAATTAAATTACCCTATTTTAAAAAATCAAAACTTTTTTGTAATAAATATTGCATGTATGTGCATTGTAAAATACTCCAACATGCTAAAGTGCGTTTACAGTGACAGGTAAATCTCCCTGTAGACTGCTTGTTGATTAACAGGAAACTGGGATCATTTGCCTTACTTTATGGCTACCTATTAGCAATCTGCCATATAAGACAGTATGTTTTTTCTTGCTTTTTTTCCTTCCAAAAGTAATGCTTGCCTTAAAATCAAACAATATAAACTGCATATAAATAAAATAGAAGAGAAAGGACCCCTTCCAAACTTATTTCCTAGAAGTAAAATCATTACTAAGAATGCATTTTTACATTTTCAGACTAGAAAAACAACAACAAAGCTTTTTATCCATAGTATGTACACATTTGGGTTTGTATTGTTCCACAAATGGAATGATACTGTGCATCTTGATCTGCAGTTTGCTTTTTTCATTCAGTGACCTACTCGGCCATCTTTCCAAGTCTTCCATGTATAGATCTACCTCGCTCTTTTAATTGGCTGCAGTTCTGTTTTACAGCCGAGCTGCTGTACTACACCAGCTCCTTACCTGCACTGACAAAGTACTGTTTTAACTGCTCTACCTCCTGCATTCTCAGGACCACCTTCTGGAACATGTACTCTGCTCAGCCCCCCATTTAGTCTTCTAGGTACTGGAGAGGCTTGAACTTAATTACCAGGCCATCCAGCCTCTTACTTCCTCTCTCCTATCAGTGGACATTTGGGTTACTAATAACAAATTTGGTGGGACCTCTAACACTTCAAGGGGATCACATTTGAACATAGCTTCTATAGAATTTAAGGAGGTGGAACCCCATGGTGTTCTTAACCCTTTTGGAGATCCTATACCTTCTTGAGAATAAGATGAAACTTCGGACTCTCACCCCATAAACTCCTAAAAGTCCTCCTCTAAGACCACTGGATCCAGGTGATCTGCGAAGAAGAAAACATGACCTTTTCCAACCAAGGGGGACAAAAGAAACCTTTCCTCAAAGCTACCTTTTTCTGGCCCTGCCAGAGCATAAAGCAATTTTCTATTGAATTTGTTTTCAAAGGTTTAAAAGGCCCCACTTGCCTTCAGGGATGTGCTTCCTGCCACTTCTTGAAATTGCAGCCCTGCAGGGCTGTGACTGAACCTGATGAGTTCTCTGATCCTGTCTTGGGAAGAACTATTTGCTGCCGGGCATGCCAAGGGCAAGGAAGGTCTAGGTCTAGGGCTTCCTGGCGCCTGACTGTGGCCACCAGAGGGCGCCCTCATCCAAGAGTCCTGAGTCTGGAAACCCCTACCAACCCAGCTGCAAGTCGTTTCCAAAATGTCATAGGGACAGTGCTTGGGGAGCGTGGACAGGCAATTGCTAAGTGTTGTGATAATCTGGTGTTAATAATCCCACCTCCTGATCTTTGCTGTTAGAAGAGAGTGGAATGTCACATTTGCATATTGCAAGATGAGGGCTCGCTCAGCTGACTGTTCTACGCTGCTGGGCCACTGGCTTGAGCATCCTTATCAGGAGGGAGGCATTTTCTTGCTGCACTGACTGCATATTCATTAGTTGCCACTGCTGCCTGCACTCACCTTGCTCACCCCCACCTTCTCTCAATTCCTGTACTCTGCCCTTGTGATGAAGGTCATTTGCCCTTTCAACCCTGTATCTCTTAGGTGAAATCATTCCACGCCCTGCCTCCTATCCCTGCATATTCTGGCTTCCTATGTTTATATTGCATGGTCGTTACCTGCCTTCCTACCATTTCTCCAACCTGGCAGCAAGCTCAAAATTAAGGGCTGTCCCCGGTGCCTGGAGTGTAGCAGGCCCTCGGCCAACGTTTGATAAATGAATCAAAGCTAAGAACAAATCATGTGGCCTTATAGAATGGAACAAAATGAATTCAAACAGTAATGACAGTCACCTACCTGATCTCAGTAGAAATACACCTAGAAACTTCCGGATGAAATTTTGTGTTGAAGTGGGGAAGGAGGGTCAAACGTGTGAGTGTCCTTCAGTCCTCTTGTCCATCTGTACTGCAAACCCAGCATAAGCCTGACAATGACAAACATTTCACCCATAACCATGTCTCAACTCCTCTCCTTCAAAATGCTTTTGATTTATAGCTGCTCTGTTGTGGGGTTTGTTTGTTTGTTTGCTTTTTTGAAAGAATTTCTATTTATGATACTTTGTTCCTTTTCTTTTTAAAAAATCTCAATTATATTTTCAGTTGTACAGAATTTTCTGATGCTTAATTGTGGAATTCTTAACTAGGTATGCACATCAGACCAAATTCTTGAGATTAAAAAAAATGTACTGATGCTCCTGCTCCCTGCAGTCCCACGGAAGCAGATGCTTTAGGACTGGCCTAAGGGGGGGATGTAATTTAAAGACTCACACAAGGGCTCAGTATGCACCCTGGTTAAGAATCAGTGGTTTAATTCCACAAGGGCTTTATTTTAAATCTGCCCCCAAACTGATGCTTTTCCCAGCTTTCTATTCTACTTTCTGGGCTGATTGAGGATTATCATTCTGTCCCACTTTTCCTGCCTTATTTTCTGCTAAGATGTTACTTCTTGTTCTGATTTTCTCCTGCCCACTTGGTGCCATGACAGTTGGAAACATGTCACAGACCAAGTTGTTTTCATCAGGTGGAAACAACAGTGACAGCAATGCTCTCTGTTCTAATGAGGCGGGGGCGGGGGGGCAGCCTTTGTGTGGCATTTTCCATGCCTAGCTTCCAAGTGGCTTTATTGAAACAAAAATTACACGGAGATGCCACCTGTTGCACCCACTTGCTGATGCTGTGTGTGTGTGTGTGTGTGTGTGTGCGCGTGTGTGCACGCGTTTAAGTCAACATGGGCATTAAAAGATTAATTATCTTGGTTACTTATTTGGCTGCTTTAAGGGACTGTATTATTTATTCTGAGTGCTGTGCAATAGAAGAATTTTAGAATATGAAATTTCCTGATATATTATTTAGAAGAGACACAAAACATCTCAACTTTTGCTTCTAATAAGTATTAGCTTTGCTAAATGAAAAATCGAGAGGTCATTTCTTTTCAGGTATGATTTGATCCAGGAGCTCAAACCAAATACCTGGCTTCTCTTTCTTCTATCTCTGCTGTTCACAGTGTTGAAATTGGGCTCACAATGGCTCCCAGTGGCCCTCCTCCTGTATGGCAGCAGAATTGCTGCAGCACTTCCATCCATTACCTCCTGACACCCCTCTGTTTGCAAAAAGGGTGAGGGTCTCTTTCTCTAGCTTCTGCAGAAGAGAGAGAAAAGTTTGGTTTCCCAGAATCTGCAGAATATGCCCCTCCCCTACCTCTAGTCTCATTTTTCTGTAATCAGGTCTCGTTCCTAGTCCCTGACCAATCACTGTGGCCTGGGAAATTGCGCTGCTCTCATTGACTAGACCTGGTCACATAGTTGTTTTGAAGCTGGTGGAGGAGAAACAACACTCAAGCCAAGTGGGTTTAGGGTGAGTTAGGGATGGTTCCCACAAAGGAAGCCAGAGTCCCCTCACCAGGAGAAGAGAGAACAGATGGTGGGCAAGTAAAAGACTGATGTCCCCTGAGCCCAGGAGGTGGTGGTGGAGACAGAACTTGAGGGGATTTAAATGGGGCAGTGGGTTCAGGATGGACTGGATGAGGGAAGATGAAAAGGAGGTGGGGGAGAACATTACTGTAGCACTCCCCTTGATGGTGGGTGGGACCTGGGTGAGAGCTGAATGGTGAAGAGAGGCAGCTTAGCATAATGGTATTAAAAACCTGGGTGTTAATTCTTGCCCTGCCATTTACCAGGTGTTACCTAACCTCTCTATGCCTTAATTTTCCCTCTTGTGAAATGATTGCACCTGGGTTGTCATGGATTAACCTGAAAACATGCTAAAATGGAAGAAGGCAGTCACAAAGGTCACATATTATACAATCCCATTTACATGAAATGTCCAGACTGGTTAAGTCCATAGAGACAGGAAGTAGTTTAGCGATTGCCTAGGGCTGGGGGGAAGGGGGTGTTGGAGGCTGATAGCTAAGGAGTTAGGGTTTCTTTTCAGGATAATGTTCTAAAGTTGACTGTGGTGATGGTTGCACAATGCTGTGAATATACTAAAAGCCATTGAATTAGACACCTTAAATCAGTGAATTGTATGATATGTGAATTACATCTCAATAAAGACTTTTAAAAAGGTAATATGTGTCAAGTGTTTTGAATGTTGCCAGGCACGGTCCCTCTGTCTGCCCCATCAGACCTGGAGGTCCAGCTGTCGCAGGACCTTGGAGGCTGCACCGTCCCTCAAGCTTAATTTTCCTTCCCCCTGCCCTCGTCTTTGTGAACAGTCTCATCATTCCATTCCATTCAGTTTCCCCATTTGATCACCTCTTTTCTGCCTGGGCCCTGCCTGCACAGAAGACACCTCTGCGGCAGAAGAGCAGGACTTGGCTACTCATCAGATGGACATGTAACATGGACTAGTAAGGTCAGTGTTATGTGTCCACTTGACTGGATTATGGGTGCCCATTTACTCAAACATTATTCTGGATGTTTCTGTGAGGGTGTTTCTAGTCGAGAATAACACTCAAATTGGTAGACCGAGTAAAGCAGATCTCCCTCCCTAATGTGGGTGGGCCTCAGCCAATCAGTCGAGGGCCTGAATAAAACAAAAAAGTTGACCCTCCTAAAAGTAAAAGGAACTCATCCTGCCTGACTGCTGAGCTGGGACATTGGTCTTTATCTGCCTCCAGACTTGAACTGAAACATTGGCTCTTCTTGGGCCTGGAGTTGCCAGCTTTCAGGCTGGAGCTCCACCATCGGCTCTCCTGAGTCTCCAGCCTGCCGACTGCAGACCTTGAGGCTTGTCAGCCTCCGTAATCACGTGAGCCAATTCCTTACAAGTTGCCTCTCTCTGTACCCTGTTACACTTTTCTGAGGAACCCTAACTAATACTGGACCTAAAGGAAAGATGAGTCAGTGGTGAGTTTAAGGCTGAATAACTAGGAAAATGATCAAAATATAGGACAGAAATAAAGAAATAATATCAAAGGAAGTGACTGGTTTTGGAAGAAGGGTTTTTTCCCCCGCATTTACAAAGCATTGATTAAACATCCACCCTGTGCCAGATGAAGTGCCAGCTACTGGGGACTGAAAGATCTACCCGGCTGTGGGAACTAGAGGCCAACATGCTGCCTTCTGAGTCTTCCTTCAGCCTCACCGGCCACATTGAATTAATCTTCAGGTCTGCAACACCTCCTCAGATTGCTCTCATCCATTTCTTTGGCAGATAGGGCTTTCATTGGAATCACCATCTTCTATCCTTTTAGGGATTTTGTAAAGATTTCACTTCAGGTTCAGGAAGAGCATGGACCTATTTGAAGAGATTTGTATGTGAAATCAGGAAATGGAAGGTCACTGGTATTGATCAAAGTATGTGGGCATAAAGTGTATTTCCCATTTCTTTATTGAAGTGGTTAAAAAGAGTGCTGCTAATGATGTTAAGTGTTTATTGGGGGAAGAGTTAGTGTCCAAAGAAAAACCTGCAGTTTTTCTATGAATGCCATTAGTCAAAATGGACTTGAGTAAAGAAAGATGGGAGGGGAGAGAGGGCATCTCCAGATAGGGAGAAAGAGACACCTGTTCTGGGTGGCTGCAAAGGCTGAGTCTGGCCTCTTCATACTTCATACTTTAGCCCATCTGAGGGAAGGGAATCTTAAGAAAGCTACCACAAAAAGTGACAGCTTGGACCTCTCCCACCTCTTGGAGTAACATGGGATATTGTATTGTCCACCCATTCCCATGAGAGCTCAGGGGAAGCCCTTAGACTGTCTCCCTCTACTCAGCAACTGGGTATGCCCAGGGGACTGTGTTTGGGTCAGTGATACAAAAACAGAAGTTCTTAGGTGGGGTTTTCAGAAAAGCTGCTCAGGAATGGGGCAGACAACTGCGACCTGCTCTTTCTGTCTTTCCCCAAATGTTGCATCCAGCCTGAGATGTGGATATCAGGGCTGGAATGTCAGCAACCATTCTGAAGGTACAGTACAATTCAACATGTGTAAAATGACTTCTGTTCAAGGTATTTGCTGCAGCATTATTTGTGATAGCAAACGATTGTAACTGGCCTCAGTACCTGCCAGGAGGGGATCAGCAAAGCAACTTAACGATTCAGCCATAACCAAGATTACTCTGCAGTGGTTAAGAAGAATGAAGTATCTGTTTGTTGTGAGATGGAAAAATCTCTAACACTGACTAGTGGCAGTGAACCAAGACACAGAACAGTGTGTATAGGTGTAGCTCAAATCCAGCTAAACTACTTCAATGGCCAGAATAGAGCATGGGCTATTACATTTCTAAGTCAGGAGTCAGCAGACTGGTTCTGGAGCCAAAGCCAATTGTAAATGAAGTTTTATTGGAACACACTTTTCCTTTATATGTCTGTGGCTGCTTTCCTGCTACATGCTACACTGGCAGACTTGAATAGTTGGGATAGAATGCCTATGGCCTGCAAAACATAAAATATTCACTGCTGGCCCTTACTGAAAACATTTGCTGGACTCCCTGATCTAGGCATTACTCTCATTATCTTTAAAATGAGCTGAGCACTGACTGGTGTGGTTCAGTTGTGCATTGTCCTACAAAGCCAAAGGTCACCAGTTCAATTCCTGGTCAGGGCACACGCCTTGGTTGCAGGTTTGGTCTCCAGTTAGGGTGCCTATGAGAGGCAACCAATTCAAGTTTCCTTCCCACACTGATGTTTTTCTTCTCTCCCTTCCCCTCTCTGAAAATAAAGAAAATCTTTTCAAATGGGCTGAAAAAACACAGTTAACTTGCTTCATAGAGATTGTAAGTATTAAGAAACAATGAACATAAAAGCTATTTAGCATTTATAGTAAACTCAATAAATGTAGTTATGATTATGATTTGGTTTTATTCTGCTTAGCCTCCAGTAGAAATTTTCCTGTAGCTTTTTGACCAATCTAAGTTTCTTGCAAATCCCTGTAGATTGCTTTAGATACTAAAGAGTAGCCTCCAAATCTAGTAAATGTGTGGGAGGGGTGGTGGGGTGTTGGCGGCCAGTTGCGGGATGAGAAACCAGTGGTTGTTACACCTCTACAGCAGGTCTTTGAATCATGCCATTTTATTCAACATCATTCTGTTATAACATTGATAAAATGCTGTGGGAACTTAACTCTTGTTTATATCAATGAGCCTATGGTAAAATTGGTTTCATTATATGTCATTTCATTTAAAGTTGCAGAACCTATCGACCTTGTTAAGTGAGGATTTATTATGTGCCAGGTGTGGACTGGATCTGTCTGTGTGTCACTTCACGTAATCCATACCGCCAAGGAAACTTGAAAATCAAAAAGGGATAAATAGTTGATGACAGTAAGTCACTGAACTGAGACTCAAACCCAGTACTGCTTACCTCCAAAGCCCATGCTCTTTATTTTTTTAATATATTTTATTGATTATGCTATTACAGTTGTCCCATTTACCCCCTTCTCTCCCCTCCACCCTGTACATCCTCTCCCTTCCACTCCCCCCCTTTAGTTCATGTCCATGTGTCATACTTATAAGTTCTTTAGCTTCTACATTTCTCATTATTCTTACCCTCCCCCTGTCTATTTTCTACCTACAATCTATGCTACTTATTCTCTGTACCTTTTCCCCCTCTCTCCTCCTCCCACTCCCCTGTTGCTAACCCTCCATGTGATCTCCATTTCTGTGGTTCTGTTCCTGTTCTAGTTGTTTGCTTAGTTTCTTTTGGTTTTGCTTTAGGTGTGGTTGTTAATAATTGTGAGTTTGCTGTCCTTTTACTATACATGCTTTTTTAAAATCTTCTTTTCTTAGATAAATCCCTTTAACATTTCATAAAATAAGGGCTTGGTGATGATGAACTCCTTTAACTTGACCTTATCTGAGAAGCACTTTATCTGCCCTTCCATTTTAAATGAAAGCTTTGCTGGATAGAGTAATCTGGGATATAGGTCCTTGTCTTTCATGACTTGGAATATTTCTTTCCAGCCCCTTCTTGCCTATAAGGTCACTTTTGAGAAATCAGCTGACAGATGGGAACTCCTTTGTAGGTTACTGTCCCCTTATCTCTTGTTGCTTCTAGGATTCTCTCCCTTGTTTTTACCTTGGCTAATGTAATTATGATGTGCCTTGGTGTGTTTCTTCTTGGGTCCAACTTCTTTGGGACTCTCTGAGCTTCCTGGACTTCCTGGAAGTCTATTTCCTTTGCCAGAATGGGGAAGTTCTCCTTTATTATTTGTTGAAATACGTGTTCCATCTGTTGCTCTACCTCCTCCCCTTTTGTTACCCCTATAATTCAGATGTTGGAATGTTTAAAGATGTCCTGGAGGTTCCTAAGCTTCTCATTTTTTTGAATTCTTATTTCTCCATTTTTTCCTGTTTGGTTGTTTCTTTCTTCTTTCTGCTCCACTCTATTGTTTTGAGTCCCAGTTTCCTTCCCATCACTATTGGTTCCCTGTGCATTTTCCTTCATTTCTTTTATGGTAACCTGCATTTGTTCATCTAATTTGCGACCAAAATCAACCAATTCTGTGAGCTTCCTGATCACCAGTGTTTTGAACTGTGCATCTGATAGGTTAGCTATCTTTTGGTTGCTCAAAAGGATGAGTTTTGGGGCACTGATTTGTTCTTCTGTTTGAGCCATCTCTCTCTTTTTTTGGTCTGGTCGCTCCTATTATGGTGAGGGGTGGAGCCTTAGGTGTTCATCAGGGCTGGGCACCCCAGTTGCTAGAATGTGACATTGTATGTGGGGGCGGGGTCGAGAGGGAACAATGGCGATAGCTCCATTCTCTGTGGGATCTCAGTCCCTTCCCTGGGATCCTGGCTTACGAGCTCTGTCCTGCTCCACAATCGCCACCTCACTGGGTCTGCTAGCTGCTGCTTGCGTACTCAGGGTCCACCTGCTGCAATCTTGCACACCCCAGATGCCTTACATGCTCCCGGTTGCCTTATGCGCACAACTCTCCCTGTTCTCCTCACTGCGACCCGCCCGGAAGCTTGTCTCCGTCCCTCCTATTGGTCTGGATGAATGAGTCTACTTCAACTTCTTGGCTGTCCAACTTCCATTCAGATAAATTTCCTGTCAGTTCTGGTTGTTATTCTGCCTCTAAATTGTTGTTGTTCCAATCTTGGTTGTGTGTGGAGGTATGGTGCGTCCACCTGTGCCTCCATCTTGGCCGGAACTCCGCCCATACTCTTTCTAATCACTAGCTATGTCTGCTACCAGAGAATTCTTGGACTGCTGCACACCTACCCCTTGCTTTGCCCAAGATGGTTCTGCTCTGTGCCTGTTGTGTGACTTACTGTCCCTGGCAATCAGTTTCCCTCTCAAGAGTGTCTGAGTTTGGACAATAAATTCTATGGCATCTACTATCATCAATAAGGCTTTCAGTGTCAGCTCAGTGAGGGCTGAGATCTTTGTTTTGTTCAGAATATATTCCAAGCACCTAGAACAGTATGGCACATAAGTATGCGTTGAATCAAATGTTGAGTGAATTATCGGTAATCCACATGGGTACCTGTCAGGTGAACAAAAGGCACACAGTGGGATGAGGATTGTTCTCTTAAAACAACTCTGGATACACACGGATGCCTGGCTCTTGGTCCTTCTCTGTGGTTACAGCAACCTGTGCCTAGTTTGAGTCTTGTGTTTTAACTCATGCAAATCAATCACCTGCTTTGTACCGGGATGGTCCAGGTTGGTCATCCCAGGTGAAGGAAGTAAATATTGTTCAAGGCCTCCTACAGGATGGGTGTGTTGTGGGGGATCTCTCATGCAGAGTCAGAAATAAAACACATCAAATTGAGCTCCAGGTGGCTTTGCGGAAGAAAAGGGAGGTAGATTATGTGCTCAGCACAGCCCTGATGTAAAGGTAAGGCTGATAATCTACCCCTTTTATGTGCACAGTGTCATGGGCCACTTCCAGCAGGAGAAGAAAGCCTGACCTTTGGAGAGGGCTATAAAAGGCGCCAAATTCACTTCTTTCCTCACAATATGCCTTTAACAAAGGAGAAGTGAAGGGCTTTTGTGTCCAAGTGAAAGGTACACAAAGGCAACTCAGCATTTTGTCAAGCTGATGGCCAGGGCACCGAGGCACAAATAAGATAGATGCTGCTTAGGTTCTGGGCAGCCAGATATGGCCGGGAGACCCCGACAGTGTGGCAGTTGGCAGAGGGGCTTCTGGTCACGCTGCCTCCAGCACCACCGGGCTGGGCCCTGGGGGGCAGTTTGGGAAGGCTGCTCAGGAGTTTCAGAGCCAAGAATCTGAGTTTATTGGAGATGATGGCTCTAGGAGTCTTAGAAATCACATCTACATTTGTGATGGGCTCTAG